ATTTTAATTAAATAAGTGTGCTTTTTTTGGAACTGATGGCAAGATTCAGGATGTGCATGATGTTTGAATTACCATGGCATATTATAATTCACTACAAAATCATTTGATAACACACTAACATACCGAATGTGTTGTTTTCTTTTATGTTATAGGCCATCCTAAGGTTAAGGCTTTTATTACACATGGCGGATCACATGGAATCTATGAAGGAATCTGTAATGGGGTGCCAATGGTGATGCTTCCTCTGTTTGGAGACCAAGGGGATAACGCCCAGCGTTTAGTGGCTCGAGGTGTTGCAGAAGCCCTGAGTATCTTTGATGTGACCTCAGAAAAACTGCTGGTTGCATTGAGAAAGGTCCTCAATGACAAAAGGTAAACATATGTATTACGTTCAGCCTGTGCATTAAAAATGCAGGTTATGCACTGGTACATTCTGTGTTGATTAATACAACATTTATTTAGTATTGAACTCAAAGTGGCATGTTTGCATATGTGAATAAAAAAAAATACTATCTTTCTACAAAATTTCACATTTAATTAATCGTGTTGCATACCATTTATTTGTAATTATTCACTGAGTGAAAATTGTTTTAGTAAATCCTACAACAAATAGTTTTGAGTGTGTAGATTGTGGAATCTTTTTGTTTGCAACAAAATATAAAAATACTTCCTCCATTTTTGACTCATCAGCTACAAGGAGAAGATGTCAGAGCTTTCAGCTATTCACAGAGACCGTCCCATTGAGCCTCTGGACCTGGCTGTGTTCTGGACTGAGTTTGTCATGAGGCACAAAGGGGCAGATCATCTCAGATCCGCAGCCCATGAGCTGAACTGGATTCAGTATCATTCCCTGGACGTCATTGGCTTTCTCATTCTCATTCTAGTGACTGTTATTTTTGTGACCGTCAAAAGCTGCATGTTCTGTTTCAGGAAGTGCTTCAGAAAAACTCAGAAAAAGAAGAAGGAGTAGATACATAAAGTCAACTTTTTGTCCTTTTTTTGTGGGGTGATTGTAAGAAAGCTCTTTAATCTGTGTTTTTGTAACTTTAATACCTCCATGACCTGGATCCATGACTTGAATAAAGCCTCACAAAACCTATACTGAGTGTTGTGTTTGTGTAGGACTCAATAACCACACCGTGTAGCTCCGTTCATGTTGCGTTTACTGAACTGACGCAAACCTTACATTTGTTGACCCTTGCCATAAACCACTGTCGTAAGCAATGAATGAATGAATGAATGAAACAATACTGAACATTTTCAGACGTAACATTTTCTCCCCCGGACCCCGGAGGCGTCGCAGGTGACCATAGTGGGTGCGGTCAGGCTGAAATGGGACAGTGTGGGTGGGGACGTGAGCTGCCATTTGATAATGCACACAGCTTCGTGGCAGGCCGGGGTCCAGTCCCACGTAACATCCTTCCTGAGAAGCCGGCGGAGGGGGGCCGTTGAGTCAGAGTAGTGTGGCATGAATCTGAGGTAGTAAGCGGCCATCCCCAGGAAGGAAGACAGCTGGGATGGTGAATGCGGGTCTGGCAGGGACAGAATGGCCTCAGTGTGGGACATTATCGGGGCGATGCCCTCCTTCGAGAGCCTGAAGCCCAGGAACTCGACCTCCTCATCCCCGAACATGCATTTCTCAGAGTTCAGTGTGACCCCATGCTGATCGTCATGCAGTGCGGTGGAGGGCGCATGCACCACCACGTCATCCAGGTAGATGGAGACACCCTGGATACCAGCCAGTATGAGTGACATTATCTTCTGAAAACAGCTCGGGGCTGATGAAAGTCCAAATGCCATGCGTTTAAACCTGAAAACCCCCACGTGCGTGACAAACGCTGTAAGATCCATGCTGGCCAGTGCCAGAGGGATCTGGAGGTAGCCGTTCCATAAGTCCATCTTACTGAAAACAGTGGAGCCGTGGAAATGGCTAGTGAGCTCCTCAGCCGTAGGTAGAGGGTACTTATCAGGGATGATGGCTTTGTTGACATCTGTGAGGTCGACACAGAGCCGCAGTCCGCCTCCCCTTTTCTTGGCTATCACCAGGTTAGACACCCACGGCGAGGCGTCGACGGGCTTTATGACGTCCGCCTCCACCAGGCGATGCAGTTCGGCCTCCACCGCATCACGGAGGGCCAGGGGAATGCTTCGTAGGGGCTGGATAACAGGGCGGACTGACAGGTCCACAGTGGGCTGGTGTACAAAACCAGTCATGCGGCCCAGCCCGTTGAACAGTTGTGGGTAGCGGTCAGGGCAGGAGGCGAGGAGGCGGCAACCTGCAGGACATGCAGGCCCCTAGCATCACTCACAGTAAAACCCAGGGCAAGGAACAAGTCTAGGCCCATAATGTTAGCTCCCTTCCGGGTGATGCAGAACAGGCGTACATTGTTGATCATACCTGACGGGTAGGCGGGCCACACCCAGAGTGGAGATGGGAAAATGGCCGTAGCCTAACAGGGGTTTAGCCGCTGCTTTCAGAGGCACGTGACTGAAAAAACGGTCATATGTGCATTTGTTCAGAATTGACACTTTCGCCCCTGTGTCCACAAGGAGTGGAATGAGAGCTGTGCCCACACGGCATGTGCAGAGCTTGAACGAAGGCTGTGAGGTCTGTACAGTGTTTATGGGGACAGCCACAGTATCATGGCAAGCAGGGGAAGAGCGACAGCAGCGTGCAAAATGGTTTAACTTGTTGTAGTTACGACAACGTTTCCCCTGGGCAGGGCATGACTGATCTCTGGTTGCATGTTTAGGGGAGCCACAGTTGCTACAGCTCTTGTGCCCACTCTCCCTGGGCCCCCTGTCCACTCTCTGTACATCCAAACGGTCACTCACCCAGTCAGCCGCCTCTGCAGTCTCTGTGTGCTGAACTGACGGTGGTGATGATGTCACAGGCTCATGCACAGCGCGGCCAAACTTGCGCGCCTCCATTAGGGCCGTTTCCAACTGCTTTCCGATTACTAAAGCGTCCGCTAGTGTCGTGGAGTCTGGCTCTAGTAAAAGTCTCTCCCTCAGTTGGTTACATGACGTTTTCTCTATTAACTGGTCAACTATAAGTCCATCCTCCACCAACGGTCTCACCCAGCTTTTGCGTTCTCTGACGAAACTCAAAACGGTGCATCTGCCGGCTTCTTCCGGAGCTGAAGTGGGCCTTCAAGGCGGCCGTGGCTGTGACATACTTATCATCCAATAAGGTGAGCGTGGCGAAGATTCGCTGTCCCTCCTGCCCGAGACAATGGCGCAGGAGCGCACACTTCCTCGCCTCCGCTAGGTTCGAGTGTCCCAAAGTTAGCAAATAATCCTCAAACGACGTCACCCAGCGATCCAAAGGAACAGCTGGATCGCCGGGAACAGGTAGGAAAGGTGGCGGTCAGGGATGTAGTGGAGGCTAAACGCACGTAAACGCCGTTTACGCACCTCCCAATATTCGGAAATAGCGTTTATCCACCTAAAAAAAAAAATCCGGACGAGAAACTTTTTTACTCGGACAAGTGAATGACAGATTTACTTGTTCGAAGAAGGACAAGAGTATGAAAAGGCTTAAAGTCGAGCCCTGCCTATAGCAATGTCATCAGGATACACATACACCGGTAGGCAGTGGCCCACCTTACCGGGTGACCACGTCATGGTCCACCAGAATTTATAATTTACCCACCTCTTTTTTTACCACTACACCTCTGGTGGCGGTGGTGGTAAGACAAGTTCAGACATCCTCGTTCGCCAAATGTTGTGTTTGTGTAGGACTCAATAACCACACTGTGTAGCTCCGTTCATGTTGCGTTTACTGAACTGATGCAAACCTTACATTTGTTGACCCTTGCCGTAAATCACTGCCGTAAGCTTTAAAGGCACTGTAACCTGTCACTCGCAGTGCATAACATAACAGAGTCCAACAGGAAACAATACTGAACGTTTTCAGACAACACTGAGTGTGAACATTTACCTTTTTTTCTACACTACTAGTACATGTTTTAGTTTTGCCTGGCTATGTTATTTCAAATCACTGTGTACAAATTCATGGGTATTGAACAGATTGTGAAAATGCTATAATATTTTAAGTACTTATTTCAGAAAACATCTATGAATCTTTTTGCTTGGTTATCTCTGTAGCTCTGTTACAGATAATTATTAGACTGCATTGTGGTCTATCCGAAATTTGCTTAGCAGGTGACTTCATACAATTGCTGTCTGTTAAGTAATTTACTCACTGCTCACTGAAAGAAGAAACAGAGCATCTGCTTACAATCTCAATCCATGCAATAGGCTTTGATTAAAAAAGATAATATTATTAAATATTCTCAATAAGGTATCTAGTATTAGATATTATCAATATTAGATCTCTCTCTCTCTTTCATTACCTATTTCAGTCATATCCGACTCTTGGTGATTTTCTTGGCAATGTTTTTTTCTGGGGTAGGTTGCCAGGTCTTAATAATTAATATACATAATAAATGATACATAATGAAAAACAGATAATGGGTGGGTAATATTTAACTCTAGGGGTGATAAACTTCCCCTTCAGTTTGACGTTCATAGTGCATGAACACTATTCTGTCTTGGCCTGCAATTAACAAAAGAACCTGGTTTGTAAGCAAGCCACTGTTTCACCTCTGTGGACATTTCACCAGTCCATCAAAAAAGAAAAAAGAAAAAAGAAAAAAAAAGATAAAGATAAACTTAGCCTAGTCTATAACTGAGATGCAGTGAAAGTGGCAAATATTTTGTTTCCTTGTGATAAAGAGACTCATGCAGGATTAAAAAAAAAACAGAATATAAAAAAAATAAATGTGATGTTATTGTGGGGGTATTTTGGTCACTTTTTAACCATGCAAAGTCCGCCACTTTTTGACCCTTTTTAAAACGATAACTGTAATGATCTACAATTGGTATACCACATGTAAGAAGGTAAGAAACCATCTTAAAAACATCCCAATTTCAACAGGACTTTTATTGTGAAAATTGTGTGGTGGGTGGGAGAGGCGCCGTAGAATGTTAAACAGTTCCTTTCACTTTTTGTTGTAGAGATTCAACACGTTTGCGTTTCGTGATTTGTGTGCATTTAGAGGTTTGACGTGCTGAAATGAATGAAAATAATATTAGCGAGGGTCATGAAGCTGAAGAGTATGTCGGACTTGCTGATTTTGTGGCTGAAGGAGATGAGCAGGTATATGCTGTTGAGAACATGGTCGCCTTTCAAAATAAACTATGATTTCACAGTGAGTGTGAGTGTGAGTGAATGTGATTCTTGCTGCCTTCACGTGCTATTGGACATGGACATTTCCTACTTCCCACGTTCTGATTACGAGCTCGTCGCATTCAAGTGGTCTGCTTTTGGAAAGAACAGGAATCATTGGACACCGGGTTAATTCTTTCTTATTTATTGGGGAAATAGTAGATAAAGCCAAAATGATATAGCGTCACATTCATTGACAACCGTAAACATTCACCAGGTTAACTTAGCTTGCTGACGATTCTGGAATTTCGGTCAAATACAGGCTATTTTCGATAAAACATATCGTACAATCCGCTTCAAATGTTCATTCATATGCACTGTTATATTCCGAAGGATCCGCATCATAACACCGTCCCACATACTAAACAATCACTATTGTTACATGCACCAGCCTACTTTAATGGTGTATTCACACCGAACGCGAATAGAGCGTCAAATACGCGTCTATCGCGTCTAGTTAGACGCTTGAACATTCGCTCGAGTTCAAATTTTTCAATTTGCGCGGAAGACATTCGCGGCAAACGCGTCGCCCAATTCGCGTCATTCGCAACGCCCGGCGCGAATGATGCGTCTATTCGCGTCTTTGCATTGACTTTGCATGTATTCTACTCGCCCAAATAATTAACGTCGCGTTCGGTGTGAACACACCATAACGCCCGGCGCGAATGATGCGTCTATTCGCGTCTTTGCATTGACTTTGTATGTAATCTACTCGCGCAAATAATTAAATTCGCGTTCGGTGTGAAGTGAACACACCATAACGACAAGACAATGCGACGTAGGTTGTGGGAAAAACTAATAATTCTTCCCTTACGTCATTAACAGTTTGTGGCCCGCCCATAACTTGGGAGCTTCCCAGAAGTTCCCAGTGGTCCTATGGTGGTACTACTACGACTTGAGAGAGCGTTTATGTGCATTTTTTTAACTATGAAACTCCGATAAGCACGTGAAGGCAGCATACTCATTATTGAGCGGAAGTATTTCATTTTTTTGGGAATAGAAGACCAAATGCCACAGCTAATTCTGGTTTGCTTAACATTTTATACTTTAGATAGAGAAACAATGATCAAAAATTGTTTACATGTGATAATTGTGGTGACATATACGCGAAAAAGCAATACAATATATATACAATAATATACACATACAATAATATATACACACAGGGGCGTAATTTATGGGGGGGTTGGGGGGGAGATAACCCCCCCAGTATTTATACCATGATCACATGAAAAATATGCAGAACAATTTTTTTTTTTATATATTAAACATAACAACCTACCTAAAAATAAACAATATTTACCTAAAAAAGGTAAATATATATATATATATATATATATATATATATATATATATTTACCTTTTTTACTTTCTTTTAACCGGCAGCTTAGTTTCTCAGTTGGCGATAAACTGCTGGTCCATGAGAGGAGTTCAGACGTGTGGTGGTGGGCTGAACTGCAGGGTATCTTTGGTTATGTCCCATCCAGCTATTTGCACAAAAGAGTAGATGTTGAAGATGCTTGGCAAGATGACGAATACTTTGGCGATTATGGGACATTAGTAAGTACTAAAATGTTAAGCTAGTCAATCTAAGCCTAGCAAGCATCCAGTTAAATCTTTAAAATTGCTTCAATACAATGGTAGGATTAAACTTAAAGGACTTTTCATACAGAAGCAAACTATGTGCTAACATGTATTATCTGGATCTTTCTCTCAGAGGCTTCACCTGGAGATGCTGTCAGATAAACCCCGCACAGATACATACAGGCAGGTGATCCTGAGTAATAGCGCCTCCCTGAGGGGGAAGGTGGTCATGGACTTGGGCTGTGGGACAGGCGTTATCAGCCTCTTCTGTGCTCTTCTAGCACAACCTGCAGCGGTGAGACAAACGAAATATTTGCAGAATGCTTTACAGTCATTAAAGGTTTAGTTCACCCAAAATTGAAAATGTTCCACTTACTCACCCTCAAGCCACCCTAGGTGTATATGACTTTCTTCTTTCAGCCAAACACAATCAGAGTTATATTAATTATAAAATATCTCTTCCAACCTTTATAATGGGAGTGAATGGTACAATTTTTTCTAGCCCAAAAAAGCAATTCCGTCCATCATATAAGTAATATATACAGCTCCAGGGGGTTAATAAAGGCCTCCTGAAGTGATGTGTTTTTGTAAGAAACATATCCATATTTTTAATTTTATAAACTATAATCACTGGCTTTCACAAGTCGAGTTCCAGCCGAAGAATGAACTCTGACCCGACGTATTGATGAACCCGGAAGCGCAGAGGAGAGAACAAAACAAAGGTCACAAATTAGAAGTCTAAAACAAGAATTTTCAAAGAGAAATGTCAGAGGAGTTTGAGTTTGTTGCCTAGCCATATTTGTTTGAACCGTGAGAGGCTTTAGCGGACATTAGAGGAAGCTAGTGATCACAGTTTATAATGGATATTTTTCTTATAAAAATGCATAGCTTCAGAAGACCTTTATTAACCCCTGTATGGATTACTTTTATGATGGATGGAAGTGCGTTTTTGGGCTTCAAAAAAATGCTATTCACTCCCATTTTTAAGCTTGGAAGAGCCAGAATATTTTTTAATATAACTTTGATTGTTTTTGGCTGAAAGAAGAAAGTCATATACGCCGAGGATGGCTTGAAGGTGAGCAAATTATGGAATAATTTTCATTTATGGGTGAACAAACCCTTTAAAGCTGCAGTCCGTAGCTTTTTTTGGGTTAAAAATTATACAAAATATATATTTGAGAAAATACATAACCAGCCAGTGTTCAAAACTATCTGCTTGCCTTAGCTCGATTCAAAGCGGTAAGCTTGTAATAATGTTTTAATTCCAGTGGATACTGGTGGATTTCCGCGGGAGATTCGAGCATGTCTTTGCGTCATTACGTCACATCTGTACACATAAAGGAGGAGTCTCGGCTAGTAGGCTATATTGTGTGTGAGGATGTTGGAGGTGGAGATTTACAGCCTTTTCTCACAGCACTTGATATAATTAAACTTATCAATTTGATGGCGGATCCAGAAATGTTCAAACAACAATCACCAGTGACAACAGATTCACCCGTTGTAAAATGCAAAAGACTTCGTTCGGACTTCGGAGTGGCTACAGAAAAAAAGAGACTGCAACCGGGCCTATGCGAAGACAAGGATAAATATCGGAAGGGCATTACATGTAGTCACGCAATGCGGATGTTGTTAACATTAACAATTTGAGAACAAAGTATAATTTGCATGGTTTTGCGTGATATAAGCGATTTTTAGATTTAATCAGCGCGATTTACTGCAATGTCAGAACCAGAACAAAAGTGGATGTTACTTACTTGTTCAGAAGACATTTTCCAGTGAAAATTCTTATGTTGGTCATACTTCCAAAAAGAATAATCTGTGATTCTGAATGCCAGTATCCACACCGGCACGGTGACTGACAGCTGCACACTCTCCTCAAACATTGTGTTCATCCGCGCTGTGCCGTGTCGAACTACAACTCACGTAAAGTTAAAGGGTTAGTTCACCCAAAAATGAAAATTCTGTCAGTAATTACTCACCCTCATGTTGTTCCAACCCCGTAAGACTTTCGTTCATCTTCGGAACACAAATTAAGATATTTTTGATTAAATCTGAGAGCTGGATCACTCCTCTATAGGCTTCTTAAGGGATCGAAACTGACCGGCCCAAAAGTTATGAAAGACATCGTTAAAATAGTCCGAGTGACTACAGTGGCTCAACCTTAAGTTTATCAAGCGACGAGAATACTTTTTGTGCGCAAAAAACAAACAAAAACAACGACTTTATTCAACTAATCATTTCCTTCTCTGTACGGCCGTGATATTTCACGTAGTGATATTGCCCAAAGCTTCTGTTTTTTTTTTTTTTTAGTTGTTTTTTTTTCCACTTTATTTATTTATAAAGGGACCATGCACAATTTTTAACATAAAATTTCCATTTTATGTATTGTACCGGATTTAGCCAAAGGCTATTTTTCATCCGTAGTCCCCCAGGCAGGTCAAAGCTAACCATATTATGTTTAATATTCCTCACCATTTTTTTTACATGTTTTTTAAAACTGAGATTTGAGTCTAATATTATACCAAGATAATTGAACTAATTTACTATTTCTATCTTTTCACCATTAATAAATATCAAAATCAGGAGATTTAACGTTTGTTTTTGAGAAAATAATTCCTTTTGTTTTACTGATGTTTAAGCTAAGACATGACTGTTCCAGCCACTGTGTAATCTTTTCTGTAGCAGTTTTTAACTTCTCAGCTGCTAATTCTGCTGTTTTCGCATGTATAAAAATAACAGTATCATCAGCATACATTTGTACTTGTATCCCTTCACACTGCTGCGGAAGATCATTAATATACAAACTAAATAGTAAGGGACCTAGTACGGATCCTTGGGGTACACCCATTGTATAATGCAAATCACAGGACTTAACCCCTTTAATTTTTTACACATTGTTCTCTATTTAATAAGTATGAGGATACCCATACATAAACTGTATGATTAACGGTATCAAAGGCCTTACGTAGATCTAAAAATATAGCCCCAACAAATCCTCCTTTGTCAACTTTAGATTTTATTTGCTCTATTAAATGTAAAGTAGCTGTTTCGGTAGAATGATTTACTCTGAAACCAAACTGCATACAATGTAGGCCAGACTCAATGGTGTTAAGATGGGATGTCAGCTGTTCAAAAATGATCTTCTCTGCAACCTTTGAGAGTACTGGCAGTATGCTTATGGGTCTGTAATTACTAACTTCATAATGGTCTCCAGATTTAAAAATAGGAGTAACAATAGCTTTTTTCCATGCAGTAGGAAAAACACTACCTTCAAATGACAAATTAATTAAATGAGTGATGACCGGAGTTAAACTATCTTTGTGAGTTTTAACAAACATAGTATCCAAATGATGAGCATCTTTACATTTTGAATTTTTCAATGAGCTAATAACTTTATTAACTTGCGTTTCATTTGTCTTGATTAGATTAAAACTTTTACATACATCCTTAATTGGACAAGTATTTATTTCCCTTCTTAAAAATGTATCAATACTTTGTCAATAAATGTATTCAGTAAATCCATCAGTCAATAAAAAAAATGATTAAAAATAGTAGCAATGGCACAATCATCTTCAATTAGCTTTCCCTTAACTTTAAGTTTAACATCTCCTATTAAATTTGGTTCCTTTCGTAACAGAGTATTTATGTTTTTTTCCAAATTAGCTTACTATTACCTTTAGCCTCATTCATTAGATGCAGGTAATAATTGCATTTGGCTACTCTCAACTCTCGAATAACTTTGTTACGCAGACCCTTGTAACAAAGCCTATCAATGTCTCTTCCAGTCTTAATAGCTTTCTTTAATGCTAATTCCCTATTCTCCATCAACTTCCATAAATTCACATTGAACCAGAGTAAAACATTCTTATGCTTGAATTTATTCTGAACACTCACAGTAAATTTATCTCTTACAGAATTAATTCTATTATAAAATGTATTACAACCGTAATCCTTGGGAGATAAGATATCATTCCACTCTAGATCAGCTATTTCCTCATCAAATGCTACTAATTTTCCTTTAGGTATACAATGAACACTTTATTTAATTGTAACACTTTAGAATACGGTTCCTTCTTTAATGAATAACAAGAACCAATGAGTAACACAATATTAACAATCTAGTAAGTATTATTAACTAACAAGAAACTCTGATTAACGAACTAGTAAGTAATAGCGCACAGATGAAAGTGGTAGTTCACTATTAACTAATCAATAAGTACTAGTTTTTTAATGCTTCCCAGAGAACTACTGAAAAAGTTTATTAACAATCTAGTAACTACTATTAACTAAAAAGAAACTCTGATTAACGAATTAGTAAGTAATAGCGCACAGATGAAAGTGGTACTTCATACTTCTATGGGAATTACTAATTATTTGGATCCGTATTCTAAAGTGAAGATCATAGGAACTAACTAGTAATGACTCAAGTGTTATACTACATGATCTAGTCATGATTTGTGCAACCAAACACAAAAGTAATTTTAAGCGTTTGAGATTTTTGGTGAACTTAGTATACTTTTAGAAAATGTCTTTAGAAGTATCTAGTAAGTAACACTTCAGTCATTACTAGTTAGTTCCCATGATCTTCATAGAATACGGATCCAAATAATTAGTAATTCCCATAGAAGTATGTAGTAACACTTGAGTCATTACTAGTTTGTTACCATGATTCTTATAGTAGTGACTAATGAAAAGCCAATAAAGTGTAGAATCTTATAATCACTCACAAGATATGCACACACACACACAAACTGTAAACCCGAATAAGTTGGCACAATGAAGCAGAACTGACATATTTTTATTTTGTATTTGTACATTTGAATTGTTCTTAACTTGAAATGTTTGAGTACACTAATTCATACATTTAACTTAAAATTTCATGTAATCTCAATGTGAACACTTTTATTAGTATAAACTTAGCTAGCTTTAACAAGCTAGTTTGCTTACATACTATTTTGTTAACATCTTAACAATAGTATGCTATACAGTAACACTTGCAGCAATAAAAAGGTATTATTTGTTCTCAAATCAAGCTCATGCACCACTTGTCACCATGATGGTAACTATCCTAAAACCAACATTAACAGAAATTCTTCTAAATTAGCATAACGAAACATTAATCATTACTAAATCACCCGCTTAACATTAATCTTGCACAAAAAAACATTGTATTACACTTAATTTTAGCATTTACTCTCCCTTTCGAGTGCCATCTGCAAAGCATGCTGGGAAATATACATCCCAGCCGTTTCAGTTAAACTTAAGTTCGTCTAAATTAAAATAAATAATTTCATA